AAAAACAAACTCATAGAAAAACAAATCAATTATTTTAGATGATATTATAGGAAAAGAAGTGTCTAATGTTTCTCAATTTTCGTATACCGCAAGCAACATTCTATGAAGTGAGAGATACATATAGAGAAAAAAAAAGAAATTGAAAATTTCATATTTATAGATGGATAGTAAATATTCTCGGATACAAAATTATGTAAATCAGTCGAAAAGTAATCAATCATCTACAACAGATGATAAAGATGAAAATGAACGAACATGGCCACGTAGTATATTTCAAACAAATATAGGCCGTTTACAAAAATTTTTTAATAAACATTCCAATTTATTAAATGAGGGATCACCATCAAGTACAGATGATATACAAGAATTATTACAAAAAGGAGATCATGATCCAATTTTACCATCATTGGTATGACGAAGTTTTATTATCTGATATGAATACTGAGTATTGTGAAACAATAGTAGAAATCTTTCGAACATTATAAAACAATATTATCGGTATTTCGTTTTTAGAATAGAAGTAATGCTCTAAACAGGGGGGGGGGGGGGGTGACACCCTTCCAATCTTCGAAAATTTCTATTTTTGCTCAAGAAAATCTTTTTAGGTTTTTTATCAAAGATAATGCTGAACCCCGCCAAAAATTCAAAAAACTTCGTTACACCCTCCCTAATGTTGGCTGACTCGCGCCACCCCTGGCTCTAAAAGTTGAATGAATTTATTATTGAAGCGACCTTATTAGAAATAGAAATGTATGTAGCAAAATCTGATCTATTGCATTAAAAAATACTGCGTCTGAATATTGATTGATGCTCGAGTTATTCAAATATTTATATCTTATAAGATATGCTGCTCATCAGAGGGTTAAACACGATTCTGTAAATTTTTCTCGCTCTGAATCTTAATCATATTTTCAATAAAGCTTTTTCTATCTAAGTCTGATTATTCAATGTATTTCTCAGACCAACCTGCTGGCGATGTTATATTAATCAAATCAGATTTATCTTGTACATCGTTTTTTTTAAATTTGCTCGTTAAATTAATTTTTTAATTTAGACTCGTAAACAACGTATTCTTGGATTTATGATGTGTCTTGTAATGGGTCTATTATTTATGGCATTAGCAACACTTTACATTCCAGTAATTGTATTCAAAGCAAGAAAATTTGCATTACTTTTCTCATTTGGTAGTTTATTCTTTCTATCAAGGTTTGAAACTTTTGTTATATACTTCGATGTCGTATTTTATTTTTCTTATTTTAGTTTTTCGATGCTTTGGGGTCCAATGAATCATTTAAAACATTTACTAAATATCGATCGTTTACCATTTTCTGTCAGTTATTTAGTAACTTTAATTGGAACAATTTATTATTCTGTTTGGGTAAATTTTCTCTTTGATTTTTCTAATCTAATATTCGTCTTTTCTAGGTTCGAAGTTATTTCTTAACTATCATGTTTGTTCTATTACAACTTGGTGCTCTAATTTGGTAATATATTACATTTAATTAGCTATTTTGATCAATCTTTTTATTTAGGTATATAATCTCATATATTCCTGGTGGTGCGCATGGTTTAAAATTTTTTTCCAAACTTTTCTATACATTCGCTTCAAAAACTGTGACAACAACATTATCCGTCTAAAATCAAAATGCATATCTGTGTTTTAAATTTACTTCATTGTATATAGACTTTGTGTGTATAAATCATTGAATTCGAACAATGTTTTGAGTAATTATTCAAAATGAATCTCACTCAAAAGTATTACTTGTGATTTCTTTATAATACATCGAAAGAAGATATTATTAATTACAATAAAAAAAAACGTTAATTCATGTTCTTTTTAGCAGTAGCGGATTGAGGGGGGCGATGGGGGTGATTGCCTCCCTCTTCCGAACTTTTTTTTGATTTTTTACAGCAAAAATGAACGAAAAAATAGGTTCACACTACTTCGATTGGGCTCAAAAAATAGCTTTTAGACAAAATCGCCCCCTCCCCTTCCAAAATCCTAGATCCGTCACTGCTTTTTAATTATGTTAGAATTCATCTAAAACTATGATTATAGTCGCTAAGCATTCTATGTATAATTGTTCGTAGGATTTATAATAGCTGTGTGCATGAACTTGGGTATTTCTAAGAAACAAGTTTAAATAAACGGCGAAGAGCATTCCGCCCAATTTTTGTAAAAAACACTTGCCTATGTATCATTATCGTACACAAAAATATATTATATACAACTGCCCTTTTTTTCTCATTAGAGATTTTTATCAATCATCATCAAGGTAAAGTAAATATCTCACTTTCAATTAAGAATAAAATTATTAATTGATATTAAAAAATGCAAAAAAAAACAACAATCTTATTCTCAAATTTTATTTATTTATCTAAATCATATTTTCTATTATCAACATATCAGGTCGTTCAACATAATGAGCTAATGTATCAGATTCACTAAGTTTTCTCCAATCATAATATTTTGTTACATTATCAAATGCACCATTCATCTGATAAACTTTTTTCGCATCTTGTACACGTGTATAATAAAGACATTCAAAACCATAACTATCAAACATTAATTGTATATAAATTCGTATAGGACGAATACGTGGATTATTTCTATCTATCCATTCAACTTCGTATTTATTTGCTAAACCTAACGTATTATCACGAATCATTTTTTCTAAAACTGGTACTTCTGCTCCGGGCATACTCATTTTAATATGCATAAGAGCTTCATTTGGTTTAACTAAACGTGTAAGCCAAGATGAAAAATCAATTGCATCTAATTCAATTGATTCACCATCATCCTCTAAAAATAAAAAAGTGACAGTAGATTGATTTGTTTGTTTTTATAAACAAAATTATTTACCAGTAATATTTAAACTAATTCGACTTTGTCGTCCACGTTCAGTTCGAAAATAAACTCTTTCATCACGTATCCAAGCAACTTTTTGTATAATTTTTATATTTAAATTTTTATATTTTCTTTGCGATAGACGTTGTTTACATAAACGATAATTATCTGGATCAGGTTCAAATGTATAAATTTCATAGAATGCACTATTCATAGTAAAATGAATAAAATATTCAACTGTTTCACCATTAAAACAACCAATATCAATATAAATACGACGATGATGATAAAATGGAGAATTTCTATCGATTTCTCCTTTTCGACCTGTATAAAAAGTATTAATTTTCGATATAATTGAATCATCCGAGATAAATAATAAAAATATAAATATTATAACAAAAAATATAATAATAATCATAGAGGTTATAATTGCAATATATATTTGTTTGACATCACGTCGTCGTTGACGTATTTCTTCTTCAGTTTGATGTGAGTTCAAGGTTGAAATTGTTTGTCCGGTTATATAATAATATAGTTCAATAATTATTGTCCTTAGATAATTTATATAATAAATAATCATATTGTTTTGATAGTCATTTCGATTTTGATTTTCTAACATCATAATATTTTCTCAATACACATGGCTACTACAAACTACCGGTATGTAAAGTAGTTTTCTTTTTTTCACTTTCTTTCTTTCTTTTTTGATACGCATGAATGGTAATCATGGGCGACAAAATATGCTACAAAAGAAATAAAAGTGCATAAAAAGGTCTTATTGCACTTGTATATGATTCTTGATATGTTAAGAATATAGAATGTCTACACAATAAAGTATTGTTTAATCCATTTGTCATATTGTACTAATCATTCATTATCACAATAACTTTGTCCTTTTAAAATATATAAATCATGTTTTTTAAACGATTTTTTGTTATACGCACTTATGAATATAATATTGATGTAGTGTATCTATCGAATAAAATATCCCAAATAACATATTTTTTTTCTCGAATCATTACATATGCGTCTCTATAATTTCGATGTATACATTATCAAACAAGGCTAAATTTCGAATGATATATTACATAATATATCATCATTAAATATTCTCGTGTAGTCTAGATATGAAAATAGTATTGAAAGTAATTACATACAAAAAACAAATTTGTTATATGTGAATTAGATTTTGTTCAAGATGATTGGATGTTATTTAAAAAAGTAGATATTTATATGAGTGATTTGGAACGGAAAATAAATTTAGTTAATCGATAAGATTGATTTATTGTTTCACATGATTAAATAACAACGGAATATCAAATATCATAATTAATATATAATGAAATAAACGAAGTCAAAATAAAACTATAGTATTTCTTTATATTAATAATGGAAGAAGTATAATCTATCTAAATATTCAATCAGATTGCTCGTCGTTATATACTTTCATCATACAATGAAGTACAAATAATGATGATTTAATAATATATATTAATATGCTGTAATATTTATAAACAACAAGAAATTATTTAAAATACATACAGAGAAACCTAATGACCTCGAGAGATACCAATATGATATGCTTCATTAACGCTTTTTGCTTCTGACACTATCACTGTACACTGACTGAAATTATCATTTATATTGACTGATTTTTTTTCTCGCCAGTATGTACTTTTAACAATTTCTTCACCTAGCATAAAAAATCCTTCAATTTTTACAAATAATTTCTGTACATTTTTCATTTGACGAATATGCACAACTACATATTTTGAATGTATGATTAAGAATACAGTGGATATCGTACGAACGGATATTCTGAAAAATAGTATGACACTGCTTTAATGTGAATGATGTATACAAGTACAATATAACATATTTATTAGTACGTATAAACGCTTGTCTTGAAAAGTTAATGTTCGTTTATCTAGAGGCGTCAGATATATTAAATTCTTACTAAATAAAACTTAATTGAAAATATCTTTCTGTTTAGTTTTAGATACTATACATTTTATTTTCGAAAAAAATTATCAATAAAAATAAACTAATATATTTATTATAATTCAGCTTGATTAAAAATAAATTTTTAAAGTAATCTTTTTGAATCTTGAATTGTATCATCAAAAATTAATTTAAAATAATTATTCGAATATATTAGACCCAGTTTTGATTCGCCTTTATTCCATTTTATAGCTTGTTGTATTCCATCTTCACGTGTTCGCATAACATAATGATTAAGACGAATGTGTCTCATTTGAACAAAAAGTGTATCTCCTGTACCATTAACCTTTGGAGTTGATTGATGAAAATGTGTACCTAATTGTTTAATTTTACCAACTTTTATCATTTCCTATAATTTCAATAAATTATATTGACTTAATCTTTAGTTACGTTACATAAACTACAAGTCAGAGTTAGAAAAAGTTCGTATTATGTTCGATATATCTTCTTGGGCGTAAGTCAAGAACTCGAACTCTTTTCAAGATGTAAATATGAACTTAATCTTTCTTTTGCTAATAAGATATTTTCAGAAGGTGCGACATGTGTAATCTTCTAATCAATATTAGTCTTTTTTTCCAAGTAAAATTATCTATTCCCTCATACGAAGATATTTTTAAATGATTTTTCTCTTATAATATATACCTTTCCATGTCCTTCATGACATGAATACCATTTATCTCGTATTTTACAATTAAATAATTTTCTAAGATCGTCACTTGAAAATTCCCCAAGAGCTTCATGTGGTTTCCGATAAATATTTGTCTCTAATAAAGATCGATTTATCATTTCTTTATTAGTATCATAAATATATCCTAAAATAAACGAAACTATAAAAATTCTTTTATTATTGAATTATTTTTATACCATAACGAATTTCTTGAAAATGAAATTTATCATATTTATCGTAATTTTTATAGATAATATCTGCTTGTCTTACATTTAAAAATTCATCGACATCTTGAATAAACAGAAGATCATTTGATTTCATTGATTGATTTAAACATGCTAAACAATAATGAAATTCTTGTTGTCGTTCTTTTTTATTAATAATATTTATTGAATAACGTGATAATAATGTTTTATTTAAATTTTCTCCAACATTAATCAAACAAATATTTTTAAAACCAATTACATTTAATTGAAATTCAATCCATTCAGTTAGATATAAATCAGATTCATTAAATATTTGTGTACATAAATAATATGAATAAGGAGTAGTTTTATTTATAGTTGATTTTTGTACAAAATTTATTCGTCCTAATTTCAGAAGAATGATACCATGAATACCAATAATGAATAGTATGGTGACGATGGAGAAACGTGTGAGTAGCATCGAAAAAGAACGAAATTTTTCTTTTTCTTTCATCGATTTGATCGTTGGCAACAGTCGGATGTATAAGTAAATAAAATGACTGAAATTATTTTAAAAAAATGATCAAATGAGATTTTTCTTACTATATAAAGAGAATAAAAACTTTATAAACAAATATGTTTTTTTGACCTATAATGAAATAATCCTATCTTTTATATTAGGGAATGAAATACTCAGCCAATAAAATTTTATTATTCAGTTTAATTTTTTTATAGATCTTCCAAGCCATACATAAGTATTTATCCCTATTGTTAGTTTTTCTATTTATGGATAATTTGGAACAATTAAATGGTTTATATATTCTTAAGATAGCTTTAATTTTCTGTATGATAAAACGAACTCTGTAACATCTGCATGACATACATATTTATTTCTTCATTAGAAGTTAATTTCCATCTGTTAACAATGTAAATCTAAATATAGTCAGACAACTTCCGTAAATAGGAGAAGAATTTCTTAAGTATCTAAAATTGAGTCTTTTCACGGTATATCAAACATTACAGAAAGAAATGAAATCAATGGTATTATCAGGTAATTTTTCTTTCGCGGAATATTTCAAATATGTATCAAAGAATGATTATGAATTCTTCTTATAAACACTCACATACCGATATAATTATTTATTTATTCTAGTTTGCAGACATAGCTATTAAATAGTTTCTTTTTCAAATATTTTAACAATAATAATAAAACTTTATAATGCATTCATTCTTATCAATGTACTTTAAACAATGTTAAAAATAACTAATAAAATTTCTTACAAACACATTGAAAACAAAATATAGTACCGAAACTATCCATGTACAAAATTTATTGAATTAATAATGCATCTGATGATCTAACACAACATCTCTTTTTTTATCAATTTTAATATTTCTAGAGGCAATAATAATTTAAGGGCCCCCCCGGGGTCAAAAAATAGTTTTTTCTTCAAAAATAACGATTTCGAGATTCATCCATATTTAGGTAGCCCATCATCTACACTTTCGAATAGACTATAGTTTATCGATTTTGCGGTGGTTTTTGATGGTTTTACAGCAAGTTTTTTGAAAAACCTACTAGAAAATTTTTTTTTTCAAAAACCTTGATTATTGAAACTATTTGAATTTTTCTCTATATCAAGTTTTTTAGAAGAAAAATTTCGATAATCAAAGTAAAAACTTGTTTTGCGTTTTTCTCGAAAGTGTTTTTTATGTTTTGTCTGTCCGTATTTCCAAGATTTCTCCGCCATTTTGAGCGCTAGAACGCTCGGGAAGGTTTCAAAATAAAGCTAAAGCTCAGTACTAGAGCCTAACAAAGCCGGAATTTCTGTTTTCATCCTAGTTCGTTATGAAAAAATCGAGTTTTCTAAAGAGATAACCTCAA